ATGCCTGCCACTGTCTCACTCCCTGTTATAACCAAGCTGCAAGGCGTGGGGCCAGGCAGATAGCTCAGCACAATAAGTACCTTCCTGGCAAGCACAGGGTCATGAGTTCAATCCCTGGTACCACAAAAAAGAAAAAAAGCTGCAGGGGGTGATTACACGGGTGAAGAGGATGGTGGTGTGCCTATTTTTAATGAGGGATAGTATCCTGAGGCAGACAACCAGTAGGACTGCTAAGAAGAAAAACTGATGGACCAGAAGGCAATGGAGGAAGCCCAGTTTTTGGCTGGTGTATTAGTCTGTTTTCTGTTACTGTCACAAAATACCTGAGGTTGGGAAACTATAAAGAGAAGAAATGCCAACATTTTGGCCCTAACCTTCTAAGGTCAGTTAAGACTCAGGACATATGAGAACTTGTACTGTAACGTCATGTACCTCGGTACTGTCCCAAATTTTCTGATCAAGAAGATTATGGGGCCAAAGAGGAAAGTGATCGATGACGTAGAGTGGGCCTAAGGAGAGTCACATGGGGAGAAGACACTCTCTCAGGCTTCCACAGAGAGCACATTGGCCAAGCATTGGCCGTGACTCATCCACATGGCTGCACTGATAAAGGTTCTACAATCTGAGGTACAGGATCTCAGGACAAATCCTGAGGGCATTTCATTGACCTTCTCAGACCAAAAAGCTACAACTCTTGTTGCACAGGTCCTGCTTTACCTTGGTCTTAACCATCCAGTAGAAAAGTATGAAGACGAAATATAAGAAATAAAGCCATGCTGTTAAGTTGAGCTGTGGGGGACTCAGGTCAATAATTTCTGACATTGCCAGTTAAACAGAAGACCCAATGCTATTATGGGCTACTGGACTCTTTTAGAATATTTTGCTGAGTTTACACACCTATAATATTCAATAACGGAACTTAGAAAAAATGGGGTATACCTATGAATGTCCATTTTGTATCTGTGTATTCAAAGTGGTTAGGATAGATATATAGTTGCATTCTCTTAATGAATAGAATGATTTGTTCTAATGGTGTTTGTAAATAGGATCAAAAGTCCGCGTCTTATACAGCAATTAACCACTAAGAAGAATATATGCAGTGTGTTATTTGTTGAAACTGTACTTCCGATTGGATTTGAAACTGTCTCATTGCTATCTGTTTATCAATAAAACTTTGAAAAAAAAAAAAAAAGAGAAAAAATACGTGCAGTTAGAGGTCCTAGTACATGCACTTAGCTGACACCAGCCGATGGCAGTGTATGTGGCAGACACAAGATCAGGAGGAGAGGCCAGGCCTGTTCTTTCCATAACCACTGCTCTCTCAAGAACTAACCCAGGGCCCGTGAGAACAATCTGGATCCCTTCTGAGGGCAGCACACCCGCCCAGGGGTCTCCTGTTAGATCCTACCACCTACTGACAGGTCTGCACCACCAAGGACTGACTTTGTGACACAGGAGCTGGGGACAAATCACACCCACCTCCAACCCCCAACAGAGGGGACTACTGCATTCTGCGCCCGGCAGACACCACGTGCAGGGGCCAGGCAGAGCCTGAGAAAACCCAGGGGCCTCGTGTCCCTGCGAGCTCTGTCCCTCACCCCTCTGGTAAGTAGTTTCACCCGGGAAAGGAGACAAGATGTGACAGATGTGTCATCCTGCCCCCCTGAGCCAAACAGCCTTCTCTCCTTGATGAAGCAGAAGGAAGCTTCCAGATCCTTCTCGACAGCGCTCCACACAGCCGTTTCCAGCCAGCGTTGGCAAGAGCCACAGCCTGGCCGCTATGCCCAGCCCTCTGTCCCAAGCCCTCAGCCTCATCTCCCCGGCAGGAACACCACGCCACGCTGGGGGACCGCTGGGAGTGAAATGAGGCCATGCCCCCTTTTCATTGTGCCTTCCCACTCCAGTCTGTCTGCAGTGCCCACAGGGGCCCCAAGTGTGCCCGACACCTGAGCATCTGACACATGGCAGCTGTCACCCGCGGAGATGGCTGCCGGCTGCCTGCTGGGGCCTCCTGTTCTGTGTCCCCTCCCAAGTCCCTCTCCTCGGAGGCACTCACACTCACTGGGCCACCTAATGAGGGGGAATGGAGCCGTAAACGTTAACCTGAGGATTTAACAGGCGGCACATTTTCTACTAAGAATACTCCCCTACTCTAGCACTACCTTCTTTTCTTCCACGCTAAATAAGCCCTGGTTGGATTAGCTCTTCCATTTAACTTTGCTTCAGGGTTCTCACGCACAAAACACTGCATTAACAAGCCCCGTCTACCGGGCCAGGGTACAGTTCCTGTAAACCTTCATTTTATCTCCTTCAAAACACACAGTAATAGCCCACTCTGGGGAATATTCAATCAGACCAACCTGCAGCTGCATTTGTTTGCGCTTTTCTGTCCCCAGTAAATTCTGGCAACAGATGGCTGTGCGTTACATAAGCGGACCTCGCAGCCCGGTCGCCCTCCCCGCGCCGCCCTGAGCCCCAGGAGAGCTGGGTGCCCCCCGCCCCCTGCAGCCCTGACTGCGCATTCCTGGGCAGCACTGGGGTGTGTGGCAGGGCACTGGCGACCTTACTTTGTTCCTGTATTTCAGACGCACAAGGAACACTGAACACAGGTTGAAAAGAGGCCGGCCTTGGCCAAGAAGGGCGGGCGCAGCAGCTGTGATCCAGCAGATGGAATGCGCTTGTCTTGGCCAAGATACGCGCGCAGCGACAGGGCCGAGCTGCAGAAAAGGAGCCGGGCAGCCGGCCCCATGTCATTATTCGTTCTGGAGGAAGGTGCCGCCTGCTCTTCACCTGCCAGGCCGTGCGGGCAGCGCGGGGAACCTGGGCCCTAGAAGCTGCTGCTGGGCTGCGTGCGGGTGTGCGTGTGTGTGCGCACAGAGGGGCCTGGGCTGGGTTCGCCCCCCGGGCCTCCAGTCCCACAGGGCCAAGGACGCAAGGGTGAGGGGCTGAGGGGCTGGCTGGGTATGAGAATAGCTGGAGAAAGTGCTGAGCAGTTGCTGCCTCGCCTCCCAAGACATTTAATGTGTTCTGTGACCCTGTGCAACCTGCTTACCCCCTCTTGGCCTCAGGCTTATAGCTGAAGATCAGACAACAAGAGCAAGGTACACACCTGGAAACCTAGCACTCAACTCAAGAGGCTGAGGGAGGAGGATTGCAGGTTCAAGCTCAGCCTGGGCAACCTAGGAACTTAGACTATCTGAAAATTAATAATAAGAACAAGAAGACTTGGAGATCTCATCTTGGTATAAAGGCCCTAGGTCCACTCCCCAGTACCACACAAGCAGAAACCAAAAACCAATCAACTAATCAAGCTGTGATGTGCAAAAGCAGAACAGAAAGGGCAGGTGTGAGTGCTTATAGGGCATTCACCCATTCACAGCCATTGCTCTGCTTTGAACAGCGGTGGTGGTGGCAGAAGGGACAGAAACTCCAGTGCAGGGGTTGGGGACATAGTCACAGGTCTACTGTGGTGTGGGGGCTGGATGGAGGGACACAGTCACAGGTCTACTGTGGTGCGGGGGCTGGATGGGGGGACACAATCACAGGTCTACTGTGGTGCAGGGGCTGGGTGGGGGGACACAATCACAGGTCTACTGTGGTGCAGGGGCTGGGTGGGGGGACAAGTCACAGGTCTACTGTGGTGTGGGGGCTGGGTGGGCTCCCTACAGTGACACCTGGGCTTCCAGGAGCCGAGGCACAGACATCTGGGCTCTGGGCTGAGCAAGATGGATGTAGCTCCCACGGGGTCTACACAGCGCCCGGCAGACATTCAGGAAGCTGGGAACAAGGGAGGTACCAACAGGTGGGAGGCAGGGCCCAGCTCAAGGGACCAGGAGCTCTGGTGCCACTCTCAGGGCACTGACCTCATGCCTCAGGGTCAAGGGGGCCTCTGAGGTTGGAAGCAGCTGACCTGTGTGACCAGACCTCCAGGGACTGCAGGAGACACAGAGGACCAGGCTCACCTGGGGCACAACGGCCACCTCACTGTCCCACACCACCACACTTTGCCCACGCGACAGCCTCCAACAGGACACCGCTTGTCCCTGCCCCTCTGCACCCGAGCTCAGGGCGAGGCCCTGCGATCTCCAGATCTCAGTCTCCTGGATCCCTACCTCTCTCAGCGTGAGGACACGCCCTCCTCCTGTTCCACAGTCTGAGGCAGGCCCGGTCCAACCCAAAGAGGAGCTTCCCCTGAACCAGAACAACTGAAAGGTACTGAGATGAGCCATGGCCAATTACAGGAAGACCCACCTCAGAAACCAGATTTCCAGGCTTCCTGGCCATGGTTAGAAGACCCGGCAGCACTAGCTGGGACTGCTCGGCCATCACTGGTCCCAGTCATGGCTTCCAGACTGCCACTGTCCCTAGCACCCTGCATCTTCCCTACGACATGGGGGCTGATGACCAGCTCTCTGCCCCTTGGACACTTGCTTCCCTTACAGAAGGGCAGAACCATCTCTGTCTCCAGGGACCGCGCTAGGGCGACAGCCTCCTGTCTTCGTTACTTGCTGTGCTCTCCGCAGGAGCCCGGGGCCGCCTCACACTGCACTGTATGCACCATTGACCCACTGGGCCTCTGTGAGGCACATCACCATGTTCCGGTCTGCGTCTCTTATGCCACAATCTCTGGAATGACAGTGAAGCCTGAGGGGTCCCGGAGTGTGCTCAGGAATAAGGGTGGGCGGGAGGAAGAGACAAGTGCACAGGAAAACTACACGGAGGAGGCAGGACAGGGTCAGGAGCTGCTCAGTCAGGGAGCAGCCAGGGCCCTGGGCTGCACCTGCCAAGCTGCACCTGCACGTTAGCAAGACGCCCTGCTGAGCCATTGCAGATGAAAGCTTTGGGCAGTGAGGGCTAAGGAATGGACTGGGATGTACGGGCCCACAATCTCACTCAGATTCTTGACTAGCTGTATGACTGGGGAAAAGTTACGTGACCTCGCTGTGTCTCTGCTTGTCTGTAGCCAAGTCCCATTTGAGGAGTCATCCGCTGTCACTCACCTCATCTGCAGTCCAGTAATTCCAGATCTTGACCGTGGCCAGGCCAAAGTCGTGCAGCTGTCCCGCACTGCGGACGACAAAGGAGAGGTGGAGTGGTGTGTGGAAGGGGCAGGTCCACACCGAGGGCTCCTTCTTGCTCTGAAAGGCCAGCAAGAGAGGGGGCCATTAGGGTCCTTTCGGCCTGATTAGAATGACAGCAGCCTGGGCTGATGGACAGCGAGAGGTCTGTGGGCAGCAGGCCGGGCCACCTCCCCTACCCCGCACCCAGCAGGTCTCAGATTGCATTTCGTCAGAGCCTGGAGACCCTGTCCCCACACAGCTGCCACATGGGCCCCTCTGATCTGCCAGCCAGATGGAGTTTAAAATGCAGTGGGCTTTATTTTAATCAACTTAATCGGCTTTGAGGAATGTGCAGGGGCGGGAGGGACACCAGGAGGAGGATGGGAGCGGGGCCACCACGGATGCGGCTTGATTAACCTGGCAAATGGAGCCTTTGATTTTCTTTTGTTGAACCCTGTTGAATTTTTTTAAAGCCGTAGAATAGAAAAGGAAGAAAGAATCTGGCTGAGGCAATTCTGGGACAGAGCCATGGCACTGCGCCTGGGGTTTGTTCTGTTCCCTTTCGGGGTTTCCAAGTGTGGAGGCCGCGGGGATTGCGGCGTGCAGCTTCTAGTGCTGGCTGGGAAGCCAGGGCCGCCCTCGGAGCCCAGAGGGCCAGAGGCACAGAGTGCCTCACTGGCACAGTCACTGTCCTGAGGGCTTTGGGGCAGAAGGACGAGCCATGCCAGGGACCTGCTGGACACCTGTCGCCTCTCTCTCATCCCCTACATTCCGTCGGAGCCGCCCACAGCTGCTCCAAGCCTGCCTGCGTTGGCTGGACCTCGGCGCCTGGCACCAGCCAGGCCTCTGTTGCCTGGCAATGCCCTTCCCCACCCTCCTCCTGCGGGACGCGGCACCACTGTCATCTCCACCATGGGCACAAGTACGCCCAGCCCAACGCACTGGGGATGAGCACTGGACCTGGAGTCCCAGGACGGCCCCTTTTCATACCTGCAACCTCCACAAGAGAAGGCTGGACCTAACTCATCCCCAGCCCCGGGCTTCAGCGCCGCTCCGAGGCACACGGCAAGTGCCCGACACTTCTTTGCGGAATGAATCCATGACTAAGCGAGGGGCTAAATGAAATAGACCCCTGATAGCTGTCCTGTCACGTGGACTTTAATGGTTTTAAGCTGGATCTGGGTCCCAGAGGGTAGAGGTATTTTTTATTTGGTGTATGAAATGTTAAAGAAAAAAAAAAAAAAAAAGACAAATTCTTTGCCAATACTGAAAAATGAGATCTCACTCAAGAGCCAGCTTTCTAATTTCTCTCCAGACTTGGAATGTGTGCCAACTCAGGGTCCCAGGTGGCCACTGCTGGAGCCCAGTGTGTGGCCCTGATGCTGGCCAGGGTGAACGTTCCCCAGGGCCCTGCTGTCCCCTCCACTGTAGGGAAGGACGGTGTGAGACGGCAGTCATCTGGGCCGGGGTCCTTGCTTAGGGATGGAGAAGTCCCTGCAGGTCCTGCCTGCCCAAGTCCGACAGCACCTGGGGGTCCCCTTTATCTCCAGAGCATCATGTATTTGAGATCACCACAGGGACATGGCTGCCACTGGACAGAGCGGGCTGGGAGGCGTGGCTGACGCTGGGGCTTGTTGCCCCCAGAGATGAGAGGCCTCAGCTCCAGCTGCGGGGGGGAGAACAGAGGGGTCTTGTTTGAGACAATGGTCCCTTTCAGGAGGGGGAGGCGGCCTTTGTTCAGGGGGGGATGAGTTCTTGGGGTTCTGACTTCTTTTGGTATGCTCCTCAAGCTGGACAAGAGCATTTGGTGCTCTGGGCAGCTGCAGAGCTCAGAATCCAGCGGGCAGGCGAGCCCACCCGCTCCCTGGGCCGCAGCCTGAAGTGGGTCATGGTGGCTGCTGCAGCCAGCCAAGGCTGACCCCGGCTGCAGGCGCAGGGCTGTCCCTGATCTCCCTTCACAGTGCTGTCAGCAAGAGGCCTGCACAGGCCTATGGAGATCAGAGTCAGAGCACACTGACCTGCAGGAACTGCAGAGCTCATTAGCAGCCAGGCCTTTGGGGCCTCCTGCCCGCAGGCCGATCTCCAAGGACAGGCCGTGGGGCAGGGCCCCAGCGCCAGGCCAGCGGGCAGCAGGTCTGCATGCTTCCCGCCGCATTGCAGGAGGTGACAGAGGTGGCAGGACCAGGACCAGGGCACCTCACGCAGCCGCTCACACACCGGGTGTGCTCCAGGCCCACACTGTGTGCACGGCCGGCCCAGTGGACGGAGGCCCTCCGCTGAGCAGGGCTCTGACCTGTCCTGGTGCCCACGGCCACACGCTGTAGTGAGAATGCGAACCCGTGCGTCTCAGCCTGACTCTCCAGGAAGCTGCTCCTAGCAGGGACACCCGTGTAAGGAGTTTCTGTGGCCAGCGAGGGAGGCCTCCATGGGAGTCTAGGCAGCCCAGCAGGGGAAGACGGGCAGCACAGAGGGCTGGGCCACGCCGGCCACGCGTACAGGGCCTGGAGCTTAACACCACATGGGACAAGAGGCCAGCGGTGTTCACACCTGGCACTCGCCTGCGCTGGCTGGGGGCAGCTCCTGGAGGCCTCAGTGCCACCCAGGGTGGGCCGAGGAGATCTGAGAAACAGCCGTCAGTGAGGGAGACCTGAGCACTGGCTGTGGGAGGACATCAAGAGCCAACACGCTGGGCCATGGGGGCACGGCGCGGGCACAGGCAGGGCGGCACCCCATGCTCCTGGCCCTGAGTCAGAGCCTCACGCAGGGTGTGCAGAAATGCTCATCCGTGGGTCTGTGGGTTCATAGCTCATCCCGGGGGGAAGTCACCAAGCACCATTTCCAGGGGAAAAAAAGTCAAGCAGGGATAAACCATAAAGAAAATCAGAGAGAACGGTTGTTAATGGCTCATGGAATGGCTATTTTAGATGGGATGGCCAGGGAATATCTCTTTGTAGAGGGAACCTTCTAAGTCTAAAACCAAAGGGCCTTTCTGTTCAAATGCAGACCTAACATAGGTCCACTTGTCTACAGGGAGGTGCTGGCTGCCTCAGAACTAACTCTAGTCTAATAAAGTATTGCATAACAAAGGATCAAACTTGTAAGTGTTTGCCTGGCAAGCGCAGGGTCCTGAGTTCAATCCCCACTCCCACTAACACACACACACACACACACACAAAAGGATCAAACTTCCGGCCTGCAAGATAGCTTAGTGGACTAAAGCATCTGCTTGGGCAAGCGCAGGGACTGCAGTTCGATCTCTGGCACCACATGTCACGCCAGCCCTGCCCCCAGGGTGGGCTGAGCCTGCCACAAAAAAAAGAACGAAAGATAAAGAAAGGGACAAACTTGATACACACACAGATTTGGAAGTCTGCTGTGGAGTACGAAGAGAAGCAGGCCAGGGCAGTTCCATGCTGTGTGAGGCCGCCTATGCAGAACTCTTCTTTAAATACTGGGGTTGGAACCCAGGGCTTTGCAGGTGCTGGGCCAGCACTCTGGCACTGGGCCAGGCTCTTCCCACAGTGCCTAACTAAGTGACTGTGACCTTCCCACCAGCAGGGGTGAGGGGTCACTTCTCCACAGGCTCAGTGGTCCTTGTTATTTTAACAAGTTACTATTTAATGAGTGATTTTAACATTATTAACATGCATCAGGCCTCGCTTTTCTTTCCTCAGTCTAGCTAAAGGTTTGTCAACTTGCCGAACCTTTCAAAGGACCCGCTTTGTTCCACTGGCTCCATTTATATTTGCATTCTCTGTACTATTTTTACAACTTCCTATAACCAATCTATTATTGTTTCCAAATAAAAATTTAGAAATATGTATTGTTTCATTTATAGACTAGAAACCACAGTGTGAGTGGGACAAAATACCTGGGGCAAACAGAGACTACACACATGACAGGATAACCGTGTACAGTAACATGTGCTCAGAAGAAAAGGAAAAACAGTGTCACGGTCATGACCAGGCCAGGTGGGGACAGGGTTCTCCCGATTCCTGGGCAGGGAAGGCCTTGCCGAGAAAGCAATGTTTAAGGCCTAAATCTGAGTGTGGAGAAGCTGCCTGAAAATCTGGAACAGGACACCTGGGGTGATAGGAATGCACGCGGCCGCTGGAGCAGCGGATGGCAGGCCGGGCTGTGGGGCACTGGGTGCAGGGCGGGAGAGCAGGAGGCGGGTACAGGCCAGAGCCTCCTTGCCATAGTCAGGCCTGTGCTTTATTTTTAAGCAATACAGGAAGGCATGGCTGGGGTTTTAAGTAGGGAAGCGATGGTCGACTGTTTTAGAAATCACTCTGGATGAAGAGTAGACACAGCAGTGGGCGGGACAAGCACAGAGGAAGGCCCGCCACAGTCCAGGGACCAGGCATCCGACGCGGGAGGCCCTGTGCATGTGGAGGCAGGCCCTACAGGGAGGGGGAACCGCAGACCTGCTGGTGGCGGGAAGGCAGCTGGGACAGTGTCCTGGCCATGCTCTAGGGCCAGGACATCAAAATGTGCAAAACACATTTTCTAACTTTTAATTGGAAGTAATTTTTTTTTTTTTTAAGGTACTGGGGACTGGCCCCAGAACCTTTGCACTGGGCTATATCCCTAGTCCTTTTTTTATTTTTTGAGACAGGGGTTCTCACTAAGTTGCCCAGGTAGGGCTTGAACTTGCACTGCGCTGCATCAGCCCCCAGACTGCTGGGAAGACATGCATGTGCCACCACACCTGGCCTAACGTTTTATTTGGAAGTAATTACAGATCCAGAAGAAATCTCTAATTTGGCAGGCTTGCTCAGCCGAGTGCATGACAACTATTTCCTGAGCAGGCCTCACGGGAGGGGCAATCTGTGGGGGAAACCAGAACTCAGGTTCAGGTCTCTGTGCGCTAAGACAGCCAGCAGCTAGCCAAGAAGAGTCATCCGTGGGAAACTGACCTGCACATCGGGACCTCAGAGAACATGGCAGGGCTGGGATGCAAGCTGGGCGTCATCAACAAACACCACGCCAGGGTGCAGCCAGGGAGGGAGAAGGGGGCACAGAGGGAAGCGGCTTGGCGTGGAGCCCGCACACAGCCGCATCTGCCAAGGGCCACGGCTCCCGCCACGGTGGCGCCTTCTCTTCCACACACACGCCCCTTCCAGGGGCCCATGCTCAGCAGTCAGCAGGGCTCTCCCGGCCACAGCTGTGGGGCTGGAGTCAAGTCGCCTGCTTCTGTCACTGGTGTGGTGGGAGCATCATCGCAGGCTGATGTGAGGGCTAGGTGGAGGGGCACGCCAGGCCGTGGTGGACATGTGCCTGGGACGCTGGACATGCTGGTCGCCCCAGGCCTGCGGAAGCATGGGACTCTGCCCACCCACAGAGCCTGAGGAACTCAGGCCTGCACAGGGGGCTCCGCCTCAACCTCAGGGCCCCCGAAGAGATAAAGTAAAAAACCAAACCCAAAGCCCAGCCCAGACCATGGGCCAAGCCCTCTGTCACCACGTAGCAAAGCTCATTAGCATCCGGGCACAGAGAAATAGCACTGATCTTCGTGATCACAGGGTCTGTGTCAGTGGGAAATGAGCTGCGGGGGGGAGGAGGGGGCGAACTGGCCCCCCAAGAAAACCCCGCACAGCAAGGACCCGGAAGAGTATAGGAGAGACCCTCGCAGCTCCCCCCACTCTGCCAGGTGGAAGACAGGGAGCCCACAGCACGCCCCCCTCCTGGGACCACACCCTTAGCACAGGCTACCGTGAGAGGGCGGAGAAACGCACCACGTAGGTGCAAAGAGCCCAACCACGTGCCCTCCACTTACAGCTGGGTTCCTGTTGACCAGGCAGCCCAGCTCCCCGGGCGTCACGGTGTTCTGGACATCCACGTCGTGGGGCGACACGTAGAGCTTCGTGTTGTTCAGGTCAAAGAACTCCACTTCTGTGAGACCCACCCGCGACGGGTTGCCCCAGTTGGACAGGATCTCCAAGGCCACGCACACGGTGTCTCTGGTCTCTCCGGCTCTCAGCGTCCATGTATGCTTCAGGGAGAGAAAGAACACTTAGGGTGATGCCCCCGCAGGCTGCAGCTCAGCCTGCCCACCACGGCTGGGCTTTCTGCCAGGTGCTGGGCCTTGCAGGGCCGCAGGTCCACCGCCTGCACGGTGAGGCTGAGGAGAGACCTGGTGCCTTTATTTTTATTTATTTATTTTTTTTTTTAACATTTATTTAGTGTGTGTGTGTGTGTGTGTGTGTGGCCAGCTCAGCCCACCAGGGGGCGGGACATGTGGTACTGGGGGATTGAACCATGGTCGCTGTGCTTTGCCAAGCTTGTTCCAAGTAGGTGCTTTAGACCACTGAGCCATCTCTCCAGCCCCGACCTGATGCCTCTAGCTGCGGTGAAGATTACCTGAGATCCTACTTAAAATACACTAACTGGCCGGGCGTGGTGGTGCACGCCTATAGCTCTAGCACTCGGGGAGGCTGAGGTGGGAGGACTGAGCGTGAGCCCAGGACAGGAGACTCAGGAACAAAAAAAAGGGTTGAGGGTCTATCTCTATGGAAAGGCCCTGGGGTGACCAGTAGTACCAAAGAAATAACTAGAGTGGCTGTGTACCCAGTGCTTAGTGTTATGTTTGAGGGGTTTCAGATAAACGAAAACATTTAAATAGCATCAGACTGCCCGACTGCGCCCTTCTTCCCCCACCGGGCAGCATTACGCCCCAGGAGCACGCCATGCTGTCTGCTGAAGGGGTAGCTGTGACGGCTGCGTTGTGCCCCCACCCCAAGTTCACACCTCGACGTCTTAGCCCCTGGTACTGCAGATTGTGACATTTGAAGACAGAGCCCTTATAGAGGTGGGTATGTGAAAATGAGGCTCTTAAGGGCAGGCCATCATCCAGGCATCCTTAAGAGGGGATGAAATCTGAACACACAGACACCAGGAAGGGCCGCACACAGGAGGAGGACCACGGGAGGACACGGTGAGGAATGGCCACTGACCAGCCAGGGAGAGAAGCGGCAGAAGAGAGCAAATCTGGCACCACCTGGATCTTGGGCTTGCGGCCTGTGACACTGGGGGAAAATAAAGTCGCGCTGCTTAAGCCCTCGGGTATTTTGTCATGGCATCCGGAGAGCAGATGAATACAGTCACTTGGCAACCAAGGCTTGGACCAGTTCCTAGGACTGGGTCACCTGACATCTCCCGGGCTGGCCAGGGAGGGTGAGAGGCCACCATCTATCTATGTGACAATCCGGCAGGGCAGCTGAACAAATGGACAGTGGGAGGCAGGAGCCCCCATGGCACTGTGCGCCTCTCCGAGCATCTGCTTCATTCCCACTGTCCCCTTCATCGATTTTAGTGCCTGCCTCCTTCCCAGGCAAGCTGTCTGGCCTGAGAGTGCGTGAGTGCCATTCGGAAGCGGCCCCCTGCAGAATGGCTTCCTCGAGGCCCCAGGAGCCGACTGCAGCCCCGGCCACCGTGGATCAGCCACTCATAAAATGGTGCTTTCCCTGCACGCATGTGCCCCCTGCTAATTAACACTGTCATCTGCAATGGCTCTGTGAGCAGGAGCCGAGCAAATGAGCAGCAACTGTTCCTCACTTACTTTTTTAATTAATAGCCAGTGAGATGTGCCGTCACTCCCAGCGGGCGCTTGGATGGGCCCTGGTTGCCGCAGATGGGGATGGGACAGCCATGGGGTAGGCCAGCCAGGGCCTGTTTTGATTAGCACTGCTGTGAGCACCCCTGGCTCCCTCCTACCCTCCTTCCACTGCATGGGGCCCTGGCCAGGCTCTCAGCTACCCTGGGCTGAGTCCCAGCCTTGCAGGATGCTGATAAACTGAAAGGGCCTGGCTGCCCTACAGGATTGGCAGGTTCTTAAGCTTGTATTTGCGACAGTGTTCCAGGGCTAGGTGAACAGTCTGGGAGGCAGGAAGAACAGAGCTGGTGGCTTTGCTTTTTGGAGGTGGAAGAAGGGCCAGGTGGCAGGAGGGTGGGGAGGGGGGCAGGAGGGTGGAGGGAGAGGAAGGGGAGGGGTAGCAGTGGGGGTAGGAGAGCGGGAAGGGTAGATGCGGGGTGGCAGGAGGGTGGGGTAGGAGTGGTGGCAGGAGGGCTGGAGGGCAAAAGGGCTGGGGGACAGCAAGGCTAGGGGGCAAGAGGGTTGGTGGGGGTAGAAGGGCCAGGTGGCAGGAGGGCTGGGGGATAGGTGTGGGGAGGCAGGAGGGTGGAAGGCAGGAGCAGGAGGGCCAGGGACAGGAGGGCTTTCTTGCAGGGGGCCTGCTGGGCCTCTTGCCCAGTGCCAATCTGAAATGTGCAATTCCCAAGCTGAGCTTCTAACTGAAACAGCTCTGGGGTCTCTTAACTAAGGGATGTGTCTGTCACTGTTGGAACTGGTGGGCTCCGCTGCTTTCTGTGTTGCCTGACTGGAGGTCTAAAAGCTCCTAATCCCCGGCCCTGACTGGCTTCCTCTCACGGAGGCCACAGGACTTTCCTTGTCATTGGACAGGCCTAAGCACTCAGTGTGAGCGTGTGTGTGACACACACGCGCGCTTCCCCTGGGCCACCAGGCAGGCGCAGCTCAGTGCTGGGCATGGCCAAGCTTGGGGCAATGTCAGTTTCCTAGGAGTGGCACGTTCTTCTCCCTCTGGCAGTTCAGGGGCCGCAGGGAGAGAGCAGAGCTGGGACTGGCTTCCTAGGAGGCCGGCCCTGGGCTGCAGCTGGTGGCACTCTGCTGCTGTATCTGGACCCACGGGGCCATTTTAACCAGGAACCTGCCCTTCTCCTGGCTGCGTGAATCAGTTTGCTCTGGGTTTTCTGTCCCTTAGGGCATAGAGAAACTTCATCAGATGGGCTCCTACAACGTGGCTGAGGCCACAGCACTTGGGGCTTCGGAGCGAAGAGAGCGACACCGTGGCCCCGGGAGGGGGACGCCTGTGCCTATTCTCCCAGATGAGCTCTCCTGGTCTCCTTCCTGCTTTGTCCTCACGGGGCCTGGTGTGAGGATGACTGGCCCTGGGGGGCAGCCACGGAAGGCCACAGGACCTCTAAGTGGTGGCACTAGCTTCGGTGCAGAAACACCGGGCCGGGCCAGCATCTACCCTTGCTCCTGGTTTGTAAATTTATATGTGGCTTTGCAAGTTCCCATCGAGTCCTCCGTGGCCAACAATAAATAACAAAACTCCTCACAAGCAGCAGGGTTTAGGTAAAGCTGGCAGCACAAAGGGACCCACACTTTGGACACGAAAGAAAAGGAACCCTAATGAAGCTGCCACCCCAACGCACGGCTCCCTGCGGTAGCTCAGGGCCCCTGGGAACCGCACGCCCATTTGCAGCGGGTCTGGGCAAAGCCACCGCCATCATCCCGGACTCAGGAAAGATTAATGTCATCTCTATAATTAACTTTATACAACTTTCTATTTTCTAAATCTCGGAATGAGTGGGCCGGGGAGATGGCTCAGTAGAATAAGTGCTTGCCTGGCAAGTGCAAGGGCTTGAGTTCAATCCCTGGTTCTGCCCAAAAGAAAAAGAAAGACTTAGGCTTAATCTCGGAATGACAGTCCTTTAAAGCCGATGTCCCATCACACGCCTCTCGTTAGCTCCGTCACGAGGAGACATTCAGGTGATGCTGTCACTTTCCCTTCTTCCAGCAATTCCACCACAGGCACTCTTGTGCCCACAGCTTTCTGCTTCTGTGATTTTCTTAGGGTGGGACTGCTCCGCCCCTCTCTGAGGCTTTTCCTGAGTCCAGCAGAGTCCAGCAGTTCTTTCTCGGAGAGTACATCATCTGGGGTACAGCTGCCACTGAGGCACACCGGCCTAGTTTCAGAGTAACCTTGTCAGCTCTAGGGGTCATTGTCAAAAATAGCCGGGTACCACAGCACCCAATAGGATGCGAAGGCCACCCTACAGTGCCTTTCTGGACCACTGGCGATATGGAGTATTTTCCCACCTGCTCCTTCTGCTTCCTTTGGCGTGAACAGACTTCCCTCCCGAAACTTCCAGCCTGCCCCTTTCTCTGCTTCCCTTGTTCTAATACGCATGTGCCCTTGTGCTGAGGGGGAGGGACAGAGAACTGGGCAGGAAGACCGGACACTGACCGCTGTCGGAGCAACCCCAACCAGCAGGCCTGATTGCTCCAGGGGCCCCTTGTCCCTCGTCTTTCAGAGGAAAAACAAACGCATCTGGGGGTCTTCACGTCTGGCTCTCACCTCGGAGTCCAGCACTCTCTCCTCGCTTGGGGCTGCAACCTCTGTGGGATGGGTGGAGTCACCTTCAATGGCCTGCTGCAGGACTTCCAGAACCTTCGGCTGTTGTCTGAAATGGGATTTTATTTCAGCAGGCAGCAAACGACACACACAAGAGAACATGCTGCCACTGAGGACACCGCGCTGGCTTTGTCCTCAGGGAGAAGGGACAATTTGGGGAGCACGTCTCTACCCCGCAGGTAGCAGGAAGGTGGCTTCTCCCACAGCCCTACAGTCAGTGATGGAATCAGAGCCCACTGAAGCAGCAGGGCTGGGGGCCGGGTGGGGAGCTAGTTCTCCGGCTGCTGGAGAGCACGGGAAGGGTCCAGGCCAGGGCTGGCCACACTAAGGCCTCTGTGTCAAGTTCAGCCTTAGCGTTTATATTAACAAATAAACAACGGGCAAGCCCACTGTTGGCTAGCTTGCCAACGTGGCTCCCTGCGTGGCTCTGCTCTACTTCCAGCCGAAGACCCTGCGGGGGGCCCAGCCATGCCCCAGGGGTGCTGCATAAGGGAGAGAGCTGCCCCCACCACACTGGGAGGCACAGAGGGCCTCAGGGAGGAGCAAGGAGGTGCCTGCTGGGGAGGGCCACATGCACACAGCCCTCTGTGACCTGGGCACTCTGGGCTCTGACTTATGGCTATGGGGGTACAGAGCTACAGTTTTCATCTGGGGTCTGCAGAACCCTGGTGGAGAGGCTGGCTCTGCCTTGAACCTATTGGATTTTTTTTCTTTTTCTTTTTTTTTTTTTTCTTTTTTTTTTTTTTTTTTTTTTGGTGGTACTGGGGATTGAGCTCAGGACCTTGCACTTGCCAGGCAGGCACTTATTCTACTGAGCTATCTCCCTGACCCCCTATTTGATTTTTTGACAATTTATAAACTGGACCTTCCTCTGGGTGAAGGCGGCCCTAGAGGGCCTATGGCTTAGCAAGTAAACTACTCCTTCATCCCGAGGGAAAGCCTCCTACCAGAGGAAAGCCTCAGTCTCAGGATAGGGCTGCCCTGCGGCCAGCATGCAGACTGGGTTTCACACTTTGGCCGGGCACTTTGCACAGTCTGTAACATGCACAACCTTACATGGCATCCCTGGAAGAGTTCCCAGCTGCCACGACACCCAGCTGGCACATCCTTCTGAAGATCCATTTATTTATTTTTGACAATAAGGTCTTTATTTTGATTTAAAAAAAAAAAACATGCAAAAGTGCCGATCTGGTCTCTGATGCTGCATGCTCTTGGGCACGAATGCTACCTATGAACAAGCTTTAAGACAGAAAAGAATCTCCCAGATCGTTGCCCCAAGCCGTGTAGGCTGTCCCAGAGGAGACCAGAGAAGGCTGTGACCTAGCGGATCAAGCCAGGAGCCCTTTCCCTGAAGTCAGTTTCACGCTCCTGGATGCAGGGGACGAGGGAAGGCACACAGGGAAAGCACAGTAATCTCGGCTAGGAAGGCACGCATGGCTGCACCATTAGTGGCTTTCTGGCGTGGTCTCTGAACCCACCACGGTCAGTACCTGCTTCCTGAGAGGCCACTCCTGGGCGTGGTTTGGTGGATGGCCTGGCCTCCCCCTGCTGTCCTGGGCGGCCCTGGCACAGTGGTCACCATGCCCATGGGAAGTGACTGAGGATGGAAAAGCTTGTTAGACAGAGGTGCATGGAAACTGCCTGACCCACGACACTGCCTGGCATGGCCCAAGGCCCAGCCTTGCCAGACCACCAGCCTCAGCATGGGAAACAGGAACAGGGGTGCCCGGGGCCGGGCTGACTGGGTCCAGAGCCTCTCAGTGAGTCCTGGTTTCATGTGCTCTGTGGGCTCCTGTGAAACACAGTCTCTCATGCAGTCCTCTCACCCCCATTCAGCTTGTACACAGCAACTGGAATCTACAGAGGTTCCAGGGATGACCTGCACACTCTCGTTTTAAGGCCCCCCAGGCCCCTTCGCCTTTGCGTTCCCTGGTTTATCATGGAATCTGGGAGTGACTCCCCCCCCCCCCGCCCCGCAGGTCAGGTCAGGCTGCCAGAAGCCTGGGATGTGGGTGTGCAGGGCTGCGTGCTTGCCTGAAGTGCCAGCGCACGATGGGTGAAGATGACCCGGACCTCACAGGGCAAGTGAGAGCACTGCACAAAGAAATCTCTGGGGTTTCGGGGAGCTGCGCCGCCCGCCTCCCGCCCTGTGTCAGCCCTAGCCCCCAGCTCATTCTACCTGGAAGTTTTCCTGCTCCTTCCACCCAGAGTGCCGCTCCCTATCGGTCCTGCTCAGCCCAAATGGGACCTCCAGAGCCAGCCCACGCCCAGGAACTACTCATGTGCCGTCAGCAGATTTGGCTTTTGTCCTGCTTATTTATATTTTTCTTTGCTGCTGCCTGAAAGCTCACTGAGGCCAGGGTTTTCCTGCCTCAGCCTCTTTCTATTGAGCATATAGCAAGGAACCCCGCCCCCCAACTAACAGAGGTATTGCTTTCTGCTTTCATAACCCAAGCCCCTATTTGCCAGGGCCTCTGTGCTTATGCACCTGGCTGACCTACATAGACATAGACACCACTGTTTATTTCTGAGTCTAACTCCGTTTCTGTGTTGTCTCATCAGGAACCAGACACACAGAAGAGTCCTGGGCCAGCAGGCCTGGGGGAGTTCTAGCTTCCACTTAGCAGCCACTGCAGCCCAGTTCTCCCACCTGTGAGATGGGCACAGGGCCCTGGGTGCTCAGGGTACAGATGGAACCTGGGAGGAGCCCGGGAGGCACAGTGTCCAGGGACCGCCGGGGGTTGTGCTATGACTCTGCCTTCCACTGACCTCCAGCGCTCCCTCCTTGGCTTTCATCGGACCGGTCCGGGGCTTGGCTGGAGGTCCCTCTGCACCCTGGAAAGATGTCATTGCATGACGTGAGGTGGGACAAGGCTGTCACTGGATACTCTGCACTCACAGACAAGGGTGCAGAAAGGAGCAGGAGCATTGCCCAAAACCGACGGAAATGGGTTTTGGGGCTCCAGGAAAAGCAACAACAGGTGCTGCAGGGGCAGCCTGAGACACAGCCCGGGGGCACTGGCCAGTGTGGACAGGGCGAAAAGGGCGTCAAGCAGCACCTGAGAAGGCCCCCTGCTCTTCTGGGCACCAGGGGCCACAGCTCTGCAACAGTGTGGTGACCCCAGCCCTGCCACTTCAGAGTCTCTGAGCTCTGAGAGGGCTGAAGCAAAGAGGTCTCTGCAGGCGAGACAGAAAGCAGCTTCCAGGAAACGCGCTGCGCCCTGCGAGACTCTGCCGCTCCGCCCTGCACATCGCTGCTCTTCCTGCTTGCTGCTTGAGGCCAAAGGCAACAGGTGCAATAAAACCCAGTAGGCCCAGAGGGGTTTCCTGAGCAAGTGAAGCAGGCCAAGGTGGGAGAGCAGGGACCCCGGAGGACTACGGGAGCTGCAGGGCTCCTGCTCCGGGCCTGCAATCCAGCAAAGCCATGATTTGCTGTTCGCTCCATTTTCCACTGATCCAGCACCTTACAGCCCCAGTCCAAGATACCCGGAGTTCGCAGCGCGAGCAGCTACCCAGGGTCCCATCGGCACTGCGCGAAGCTTCCAGAAGTAAACAGAAACCAGACAAGCAGGTGGTAGAAGTGGACCCAAACAGGACGTGCAGATGAGGCTGGGGGCCAGGGTCGGCCCGACCCCACAGGGTCCCTGAGGGGCCCAGAGCCCTGCCTGGGCACATACCTGCGGTGGCCTGGCAGGGGGCTCAGCCTTTCTGGCGAGCATCGCCTTCTGCAGGGCGGCGTTCTCCACCTGGATGGCTCGGAGCACAGCCAAAGCGTCCTCCTCTCGGTCCTCAGTGGCACACAGGGCTTTGCGGGGTGCTGACAGGGGTCTTTCCCGGCGGCTGCCAGGTCCTGGGGAAAGAGAACGGGAGGTGCTCCTTCTGTGGGCTGCTCGAAATCCATTAGATCCAGCTGAGCAGCATCTATAAAACAGCTGTCCAGAACACGCCAAAAATGTCAAGGTCACGCAAGATAAAGCCTGGAGGACAGGGGCATGTTCCCGCAGCCCAGTAGGATGAGTCAAGTGGGTCCCAAAGTGGCCCTGGGACTGGGGAGTGGGGGGAGGGGAGAGGGCTACACAGAATGAGACTAGCAGGAGAAACGAGAATACAGACTTCCTTAGAAAGCAGTGCTAAATATCCTGAAGCTCCCAGGTGAACAGTGGTCATGTAAACTGAATGCTCCTGTATTTATTTTAGATTTTTTGTTGGTGGAACCGGGGATGGAACTCAGGCCCCTGCGCTTGCCAAGGAAGCGCTTATTCCACTGAGCCATCTCCCCGGCCCCTATTTTTTTTTTTTTTAATTTTTAGATACAGGGTCCCCACTACACAGCTCAGACTCACAGTGATCCTCCTGTCTCAGCCTCCCCAGCACTGGGATTACAGACATATGCCACCATGCCCAGCTTCAGGGCTGTTACAGTATGTCCACAGTTCCAGGGCTGGCACAGCATGTGGTACCAGGGATCAAACCCAGGTCCTTGCACTTGCCAGTCAGGCACTTAGACCACCAAGCTGTCTCTCCAGCCCCCAAATGCCCTTCGTAGGAGACACACAGAGTAATGTTTAGAGGCAAAGGGCAATGAGGTCACAACTTACAAGTAGGCAGAAGTGCATGAATGTATAAATAAAATAAAAAGTATATGTTGTTTTTTTTTTACTTTTTTTGTTTGTTTGTTTTATACTTTTAGGGAAGTGTCTACAGGGTGTTCATGGTCTCACTACTAGATTGCACTCATAGTAATCTGCTTGTTTACAGCCTCCCAAGAGCTGGGATTACAGGCATGTGCCACCATGCCCAGTCTCAATGGACTGCTCAGCATGCCCTGGGGGTGGGGCCAGCACAGCAGGCCCTGGGATTGAACCCATGGCCCCAGCGCCTGCTTGCAGGCCCTTTAATCTGCTGAGCTATTTGGCCAGCCCCCTGAAGTTGCAGGTTTTTTGGGTTTTTTTGGCTGGCTCAAGCTGCCTTAAGGTTAGGTCTGGTAAGACATGTGAAGCTGAGGACTGAACCGAGTTATCTTGCACCGGACTGCGTTTACATAAGCAGCTACTTAAACAACTGAGCTAACCAGCAGCGCCCCTCCCCCCCCAAAAAAAAGTATACGTACGACACCAGAATCTGAGGAAGTGAAGGCCTTTACAGAAAATGGTGTCAAGGCAATTTACAGGCATCCTCACATCTACTCTAGTTTTTGGAGGGATTTTTAGTGCAACTTGGACTCGTAGAGATCTTTCTATTTTCTGCCTCCCTAGTGCTGGTATTACGGGCATATGCCACCACGCCTAGACTCCATTGCAGGCTCAGTGTACCTGAGGGTAGGGCCACTGCTGCATGCAGTGCCAGGGATTGAACCCTGGCCCTGTGCTTACCTAAGCAACCGCTTAGTCCACTGAGCTATCTCGCCAGCCCTTCTCCCATATACTTTAAATCATCTCTGCATTGCCTGTGATACCTGCTACAACCTAAATGTTGTGGAAATAGTTGTTCTGGCATCGGGGTGCCAGAGCCAGGGGTCCTGGATCCTAGAGCCAGGGCTCCCTGGTTCTAAAGGGCACCATGTGTCTGTGAGCTGTGCAAGGCTCCCCGGGAAGCTTTCCTGGCATCAGCACCCCACAGGCTGTGGATGATTAAGGGTCCTGGCTGAGCACCGCACGCCCAGCTCTGCCCTTGCTAGAATGCTTCATGGAAGGAGAGCTCAACGGCAACTTCAAAAGTGGCATGGGATGCTCAGGGACTGGAAAAATTAATATTGTCAAAATGTCCGCACTACTCAAGTCAGCTTCAGATTCAATACAATTCCCATCAAAATACCGATGACATTCTTCACAAAGAATGGAGGGGAGCACAAAGAGATTCTAAACAGCAGGAACAATCTTGAGCACAAAAAACAGAGCCGCAGGGGATCGCAAAACTTACCCTCAAAACATCATACAAAGCTACAGTAACCAAAGCAGCGTGGTACTGGTATAAAAACCAACATAGAGATCAATGGGACAGAGTAGAAAAACCTAGACATTAACACCTGTGCTGGCAGCCTACTGTCATTGACGAAGGTGCCAGGGACATGCACTGCGGAAGGGCACGCCAGTGTCCTCAATAAGCGGAGCTGGGGAAACTGGGTACACACATGCAAAGAATGAACTCACTCATCCCCAGATACAACAGTCAATTCAAAATGCACCAAGGACCCGAAACTATGAAAACACCGGAATGAAATATAGGGCAAACATTTCGAAACACCGGTACCAGCAAGGATTTGTAGATAAGCCCTTCAAGCACAGGCAATAAAACAAACCTAAGCAACAGGGTTATATTAAACTAAGAAGAGTCAGTACAGAAAAGGAAGTATCAGTAGAGAGACAACCACGGAACAGGAGGACGGACTCTGCATACTAGGCATCTGAGGAGAGGTTAATATCTAGAACATGGAAGGAATTTGAACAGCACAATAAGAAAAAATCTGATTAAAATGAGTAAAAGCCCTGAACAGACATTTCTCAAAAGACACAAATAGCTAACAAGTATGAGAAAAGACGCTCGCGTCATTAATCATCGGGAATGCAAACAGAAAACACAATGAGAAATTGGCTCGGCCCAGTCAGAATGGTTGCTGGCAAGAAGACAGCGAATTACCCAGGGCTGGCACCGAGCCGGAGAAAGGGGGGCTCGCACACAGTGCTGGTGGGGATGCTCAGCAGCAGAGGCATTATGGGGAACAGCGGGCAAGCTCCCTGGGACACTGAACATACGGTACCTACTAGGGGATCCAGTAGGGCGACTACAGCACGGGCAGCCAAAGGAAAGGATTCAGCACATCAAAGACACACCCATATGCCCACATTCCCTGCAGCGCTATTCACAAGAGCCATGGTGTGGGCTCCCCTGAGGTGTCCGCTGGCACACGAATGCATAAAAACACGTGGTCTAACCACACGGTGGATTATTATTCAGCAATAAACAGGATGGGACGCTGGCAGTGCAGCAAAGGGTGGGACTGGGGACATTAGGAGAAGGGACATAGGCCAGGCACAGAAATGCCACCTGTCCTCACTCACGCGTGGAACTAAAGAAGAGTTGATCACACAGGAGTAGAGAGAGGACAGAGGTCTCTAGCAGCTAGGAAAGCACCAGGGGAGAAGAGACAGAGAACTGGGTAATAATAATATAGTTAGATGGGAGATTTGGTTTTAATGCTGTATAGCACGGTAACTAAAATCTACAACAATTTTTATATATTTCAGCATAACTAAAGAGGGAGACTGACAGTTCCCCATATACACAAATGGTAATATTTGAAAAAACAGAAATGTGCTCATGGGCTGGAGAGGTAGCTCAGCAGTCTAAGTGCCTGCCTGGCAAGCACAAGCACCCAGGTTCAATCCCCAGCACCACATGCCATGCTGGCCCCATGCCAAGCCAGTCACTGCAAGCTGGCCACTGTAATCCCAGAGCTGGGGAGGCTGAGACAGGAGGATCAGTATGAATGATCACTACAAGTTATGTAGTGAGACCCTATACCAAATAAAGGGGCTGGGGAGACAGCTCAGTAGAATAAGTGCTTGCCGGGCAAGCGCAAGGGCCTGAGTTCAATCCCCGGTTCCAAAAGCAAAGACAATGACACTGGCAGCTTCATGTTTCTATATGTTTCTAGGGCAGGAAATACACGGAAGTCCTCCTGAGATGACTCCTAGAATAGGAAGGACTGGCTATTTTTTTTTTTTTTTTTTTTTCAGCACTGAGGACTGAACCCAGGGTCTTCCCACTCAGCAGCACCCCTGGCTTCTTTTGCTCTCTACTTTGAGACAGGGTTTTGCTAAGTTTTAAGTTGCTCACTGAACTTGTGGTCTTCCTAGAATGCCGGGACTGCATACACACAGGCTGCTCTCCTTGGCAGCAGGGGCTCTGGACTCTCCTGGAAAGCTGGGCCAATGGGACAGAATGGCCAGGTACGTGGGGAGGGGCTGCAAACACAAACGCCCAGGACGGCAGCAGGCACTGAGGAGACCAAAGGCCCTGGCTGCGTCGTCCGGAACAAGATGCCAAGCCCCACCCTCGTCCCTCACCACCTAGGGTTGCACTCCTCATGGTACCAAATGCCTTTTCTTTTCCAAGAATCTGGTACAAACTTGGGACCTTGTGCTTGTGAGGCAGGCACTTATAGCCCAGTGGCATAAGAGCCTACCTCACAAGTACAAAGTCCCAAGTTTGATCCCCAGTACTGGGGGCGGGGGGCAGACTGGTACCTATGTGAAATTTAATGTTCAGAAGGGTGGCAGGGGCCACAACAGGCTCCTCCTCAGTCAGTGTGAAAGGATCAGGACCCTGTCTTAGCTGGGAGGATGGGCACTGCAGGAAGAAAATTATGGCTGTCGTCGTAAGCTTCCTGGGGGCTGGAGCTGGGAACCCCTGAAGAACAAACACCTCAGAGCAGCTGAAGCAGAAATGGGTAAAAGGCCAGGCAAGGTGGCCTTGTCTCTCACAAGTGACACATAATGCTGTTCTGGGCATAAGGACATAGGAACGGGCAGAATAGGTGCACCTGTGTCCTCACTAACCTTGCAGCCGTGGGGCAGAGGTAGATATGACCTGGCATGTGCCGGGGCCAAGGGCAGGAGATGGTGGGGGCACCCATGGGCAGGGCAGAGAGTCCACAGACAGTGAGGCCTGGGAACACCCAAAGGGAAGCTGTTCTAGGCCAAGGGCATGGCAGGAGCCAAGGCCCGAGGCGGGCAGTGTTTCGCGTGCCAAGGAATGGCCAGGGGACAGGAACGGGAGAACAAGGTCAAGAACGGCCAGCAGCCAGGTGGACAGCTTGCAGGCTGGGTTTTCACAGGGCCCTGCAGGCCT